GAAGAGGAGTGATATTTCTGAAATACCGGGGAGTTGAGGGCTATGATGACCCAGCATGGGGCAACTCAGCGGTTAGCACTGCTCCCTCACAGTACCAGGGACCCGGGTTCGATTCCACCCTCGGGCGACTGTCTGTTTGGAGTTTTCACGTTTTCCCTGGTGTCTGCAGGGGTTTCCTCCCACAGTCAACAGATGTCCACATTAGGGTGGATTGGCCATGCTAAATTGCCCATAGTGTCCAGGACTGTGCAGACTAGGTGGATTGGGCCTTGGGAAATGTGCAGTTACAGGGATGGGATGGGGTGGGATGGGGTGGGATGGGGTGGGGTGGGGTGGGGTGGGGTGGGTCTGGGTGCAACTGCACAGGGATGGGATGGGATGGGTCTGGGTGGGATGCTCTTTGGAGGGTTGGCATGGGCTGAATGACCTACTTCCACACTGTAGGGATTCTACGAAAAAGGAGTTGAGGCCTGCAGTAGATCAGCCATAATCTTGCAGAATGGAGGCAGTTTGAGGGGCTGAATGGCCTACTTTAGCTGTTGTTTCTTATGTCTTAAAGACCTTTCATCAGAACTTGAAAAGGGGAATTGGTTTCTGAGTTTTTAATATATGCTGTCATTGAACATTAAACAAGGAGCTAATGATTAATTAATACAAAATGTTGTTTAGGCATAATTGGGGAACTGCATACAGTTACAGACACTCCATAACAAGGCAGACACTAGAAGCACAGAACAGGTACAGCAAAGACTTACCAGAACAGCACAAAAAAAGGCTCTAAATATGAATAATAGTCTCAAAAATTAGAGCCTTTTCCAATTGAACAGAAAAAGCTAAGGGGTGGGGAAAATTTAATAGAGGCTTTGAAAATTATGAAATGTTTTGAGAGGTTAAATGAAAAATTGTCTCCAGTGGTTTGCCAAATTATTAACAGATGGAGGATTATCAGAAGAGCAACGAAGGGGGAAAGTTTGAAGGAATTTTTCCCTATGCAGAAGTTGCTACTGAAGCAGAAACAGTATCATTTAAAAACAGGGCTGGATAAACATTTCAAAAGTGAAATGGTATTAAGGGTGGACATCACCAGTGATAGTCCCAGCCAGCTGCAACATGGAAATGGTGGGAAGAATGTCCCTCTTTCTGTGCTGTAATTTCTTTGCATCTGCCTCTGGTCTCTTCACAAAAACCTGAGAGCAGGTTCTGTTTTAAAAAAGGCCCATATGGATGCAGAGCCAAGCATGCGTGATCCTACAAGGGACACAATGAAGTGTCTCTCATTAAAGTTGAGACACCACAAGTATTTGTAGGGAAAATTGGTCTACCCAAACTATATTATTTTAAATTAAAAAGCAAAAGTGACAAGTGAAATCCAAATACTACAAGCATTTAGTTTTAGGGCACGTGATAGGGATACTGTCATCTCTTTCCATTATACTAGAGAACCATAACTTGGTGAAAACTAATAGTTCCCATTCTAAGGATCACCTATTGAATTCCTTTTACCAGATTGTCAGTGCAGTCTTCATAATGGCTTGATAAGACCACAAGAAATCGGGGCAGGAGTAGGCCATCTGCCCCCTCGAGCCTGCTCTGCCACTCAAGAAGATCATGGCTGATCTTTTCATGGACTCAGCTCCATTTAGCCGTTCACTCACCATAACACTTAATTCCTTTACTGTTCAAAAATCTACCTTTGCCTTAAAAACATTCAATGAGGTAGCCTCAACTGCTTCACTGGGCGGGGAATTCCACAGATTCACAACCCTTTGGGTGAAGAAGTTCCTCCTCAACTCAGTCCTAAATCTGCTCCCCCCTTATTTTGAGGCTGTGCCCCCTAGTTCTAGTTTTACCCGCCAGTGGAAACAACCTCCCTGCTTCTATCTTATCTATTCCATTCATAATTTTATAGGTTTCTACAAGATGCCCCCGCTCATTCTTCTAAATTCCAATGAGTATAGTCCCAGTCTACTCAATCCCTCTTGGATAATTGGAAAGAATGGGCTTGAGATTACCCTAAATCAGTCTTTAGTGCAGCAGGCAGAGATGATTTTCACTCTGGCTGGACTTAGCCCAAAAAGGCAAAAGGACAGTGCAGTTATACTGCATTGTGTGATCAAAAGATCATCTCAACCACACTACATACACACCAGGGTCACTGGGGGCAAATGCAAACACAGCAACCCAATCAGTAAACAGTGAATTTATTTGCATCAGTGTTATTTATCATCTTACATGATTAAATCGACACCAAGAATACCTTTTAGTCATTCATTTATATACATCAGTATGCAGAGAAGCTTTTGGGTGGGGCAATATTGTACTCTTACACAAAAAGATTGGCTCATTTAAACAAAGAAAAAGCATCTATTTTAATAAGAATCCCGCATTCTGAGGAATGCCAGAATACAGCAACTGAACACAAACGAGTGAGATCTACCTCAATAAGAACAGAAAGAAGTAGTGACAAGACGCTGGGAAATCAAGTTATCTGTTTGACGAACTGCAGAAAGGAAAAGCAACAGATAAAAAGAACAAGCTGGCAAATGAGGCCATCCATCAAGAATGCACTGCAGGAAGAGGGAAGCAGCAGCTGCTGTGCAAAGTCTAGCAAGGGAGGTGACTCTAGTGACAGCGCACTCCAACGAGAAGTGATAGCTGTAGTCTGGCAATTGACATCATCGCAGACAATAGACTGCAGGAAGGAAAAGTAACAATGTCCTCCAGCGGGACAAATAAATACAAGTGTACAAAATACAGCCACATATGATGGAAATTGTTTGGCACAGAGGACTGAGCTTGTGGGAAAATCTGATCAAAATGGAATTAGTTTGGTTTCAACTGGGCAGTAGTCCACTGAGTATTTCTATCAAGAATTCTCTCTGGTGTCTTTTTAAAAGAAAATTTGCCAATAACAACCAAAGACTCGTACAAATTGTTTTAGCAGTGGAGAATGAAATGGGCCTAGATATATTTCATTCGAGACTTTAGGATTTATACATTATCCTTCCTAGATGATTGCACTCTGGGAAAACAAATAAACGCATCAAGTCTTAGATATCTGCATTCAAGTTTAGGATATTGAAATTAACAGTCAGACAGTGGGTGGATAAGAGTCCCCAATAGGAAAGGGATTGCAGCATTAATGCAACCTTCCTGTTGGAAAGCCTGCTGTACAGCTTGTTTAGAATGTCAGCTTTAAATTGTGAAGATGCTTCAACTTCTTCCTCGCAAAGTGCCCATTTTTCAGGCTCATATTTGAAACTTCATGTTGCAGGCTGTAGCTGTCCTTTATAGACGTACTCTAGGGCAGTGGCGATAGTCCTCATGTCCATCTCAATACTTCTTGCCCAATTCTCGACATCACCAATTTCCTGCAGAGAAAACAAATAGATTCAGCAAGGCCAGACCAAAGAAACATCCACTTGCTGCTTATCTGTAAGGCCATCATCCCTGTCCCTTTAAAATGAAACATGCACAGCTAGTTTTTGGGCACTGCCCTCAGATGCCAGTCTTTCGGTAAAAAAAGAATGAACTTGTGTTTATATGGCACCTTTCAGATCTTCAGGATGTCTCAAAGTACTCAGTATGCAATCAAAGACTTTTGTTTTGGCAGCAAATTCAGCAACCCAATTGTTCATGGCAAGTTTCAACAGTATATCTGAAGGATAAAATATTGGCTAGGACAATTGGGAGAACTCCCCTGCTCTTCTCTAAGAAAGTGGCATGTGATCTTTTGTATCTACCCGAGAGGACAGACGAGAATCGTGGTTAACACCTCGCTCAAAAGCCAGTGCCTTTGACAGTGCAATGATCCCTCAATACTGCAGTCGAATATTGATTGGGATTATTGCATGTGCTCGAGACCCTGGAGAGGGTCTTGAATTCACAACCTTCTGACTCAGAGGCAAGGATTATGACAAGATATTTGCTGATGGGAGCTATTATAGCCAACTGTAATCTTGTCCTTATGTTAGAACTTACCAGCAGTGGTTACTTGATACTAAGCAAGAGGAAGGATGTGGACAGATTTCCTGCTCCCGAGCTGATTTGAGCATCTGCAATGAATGCCTGGAAATCAAATCTGAGAGACACCACTCTCCCTGGCAGGTAGGATATCTGCTCACTAGGCCATCAGACAGCTTCCTCTATAATAACTGGAAAAAGGAAACAGCTGTCTGATCCAAGCACTCCATCAGTAAGTCATAGAATCAAAGAATCCCTACAGTGTAAAAGATAGGCCATTCGGCCCATTGGGTCTGCACCGCCTCTCCAAATAGCATCCCACCCTATCCCCGTAACCCCACATTTATCACGAGTAACCCATGTAGCCTGCACATTATGGGGTAATTTAGCATGGCCAATCCACCTAGCCTGCACATCTTTGGACTGTGGGAGGAAACCCACATGACAAAAGGGAAAATGTGCAAACAGACAGTCGCTGGAGGCTGGAATCGAACCCAGATCCCTGGTGCCATGAGGCAGCAGTGCTAACAACTGAGCCAACCTAATCCCATGATCCCACTCTGTTCCCATTTCCCTCTATTCTACTTTCTTTTAACCACCTATTGAACCTATCTTCAAGTTTTTTTCAAATGAACACGTTTAGATGGGTTATGACACACCTCTGGAGTAGGTGTGACCTGAACCTGAACCTTCTGACCTAGAGGTAGGGACACTACCACTATGTCACAAGAGCCCTAAAAGCTTACAGCACTGGGTATTTCTAGGCAGTCTCCCATCCAATACTAACCAGGTCAGAGCTAACACAATGTGGAGTGCCCACAGTCCAAAGATGTGCAGGTTAGGGCGGATTGGCCATGGGAAATTGCCCCACAGTGTGTGCAGGGACGTGTAGGTTAGGTGGATTAGCCATGGGAAATGCAGGGTTAGTGTTTGGGTGGCGTGGGGTGGGGTGTGGATCTGGGTGGGTTGCTCTTTGGAGGGTCAGTATGGACTCGATGGGCCAAATGGCCTGCTTCCAGGCTGTAGGGATTCTATGAACTCAGCTGCCCCTCCCAGGTCCAAAACCATGTCAAAGTACATACTGGGGACAATCTGTAGGGTGATTTGGTATGAAGGGATAGAAACAATCTCCTCTGATATATTGAGTGTTGACCCACTTTTTCATGTCTTCCTTTGTATTTACACCTTCTTAAATCAGACAACATGCTCATGAATCTACACTGCACCCTCTGAATGTATAAAATTGCACATCGCATGTCAACTGCAAATGGGTTAAGGGTGCAGGTGAGATTGTTTTCATTGAGTTATGCTGTTTCCACTGCCCACCTCCTGCGGAAGACAAAACAGGCGGGTTGGTGATCTGCTCCCAGTCCTGTTTAGGACAGTAGGCACCGTGACCTGATTTTCTCTCGTGTGGAAATGTCTGCAATGGGTTCTGTAGATAATGAGACTAGGATTATGCAAATAAGCACAGTGAGGAGGACATCTGCATCCCAGCAGTCATTTGCACTGTACCTTGCTGCTTGACATGCTATTCTAGGACATCTCTATCCATCTTAACTGGGTCACTGCCATACAGGAGATACAGAATATTAAAGGCACGACGGTAATAGTCAATCACTTTAAGGCATTACAGTTGAACTTGACAATAGCAGGAAACTGGTGAGCTGGCTCCTTGAATTCCATTTATATTGTAGAGGGGTGTGTTTCAATGAAGAAATTTCAAAATAAAGCAATGAAAACTCAATTGGATAGGGCGTGTCAGATTTTGCACAATTTATCTGGTCATCACATGGCCACAATTATGCAGCTGTGAAGTTGTTAGCCAGTATGAGAAACAATTTTTAAAATCTGCAGCTCATTCTATTAGTGAGCGTAATATTTTATACTCTCTTTATTGCTGCTACTGTGCTAATTAGTGCAACGTAAGGACAATTTCTGCTAGCTTGTGTATATGGACAGGAATGAGCCCCACTATGATGCCCCATACAGCTACATAGCTCACTAACACTGCCACCCAGGCTCTCCCACAGAATAGGTAGTTGGATGAGATACTGGAGGGCTTTCTGTCTTTTCAGAATTGTATCCCAGTGTTTAGAGCAGGTGAAGGCAAAAAAAAAAGAAAGATTTAAAAGTCTGAAATTAAAACAGAAAATGCTGTAATACTCAGCAGGTCAGAAAGCATCTGTGGAGAGAAAAAACAGAATTCGTGAAACATCCCCCTTTCATTAAAATGTCACAGGCCTGAAGTGTTAACTCAAGTTTTTCTCTTCGCAGATGCTATTAGGCCTGTTAAGCAGTTCCCTTATTTCCAATTTCCGTCATTCTGACTATTTTGCTTTTATTTCAAAAAGTCTGAGAATGCATCCGAAGCAAGAGTCCTCCATCTAACCTGTGGAACATGATTCCATCAGGATCAGAAGCCCCTTCCCCATACCCTCCAACAAAAGTCAGAGTGGGACCAAACATAAACTGGAGGAACAATACCTCGTATTTTGCCTTGGGAGCCTACAGCCCAATGGCCTGAATATTGACTTCACCAATTTCAAAATCTCTCCTCCCCCAGCCTGTCCACCCTTCTCACTGACCACCTACAATAACCCCTACCTGCATCACCAGCTTCATAATCTCCCCACCCCCAACCTGTCCATTTTCCTACCCACCCATGCAATCCACCTTTCCCACTGCCCAATCACAATACCCCCTACCGATCTCCATCTCACCTACTCTTCCCCCAGCCCCAACCCCCTCCATTTATTTGTGGGCTCCCCTCCCCCTCCCCCTCCCCAATCCTGACGAAGGGTTTCAGCCCAAAACATTGACATTCCTGCTCCTCGGATGCGGTCTAACCGGCTGTGCTTTTCCAGTTCCACATCTATTGATTCTGGCTTCCAGCATCTGCAGTCCTTACTGTCTCCAACAAAAGTTATGCCTGATTTAAAATAAGCAAAGGAGAGTCGTCCAAAACGTGGGGATCTCCCTTACATGGGAAAATTGTGGTCTAATGACATCAGTGTTGTAATGCCATTTTGACTTCTGGATTCGGAAGGTCCTCAAGAGGCCAACCCCAACAGCAGAACCAGAGAGTGGCTAGAAAAGGCTGAGGGTAAGCTCTAAGAATAGCCTATTTGTTTGTACCTTTGCAGGCGAGGAGGAGCAGAGTGTCTTCCTCCTCTAGACCCCACAAGGATTCCTTAGGTCTTCCCAACTTTAGTCAGGCCTCTCTGTCCCAGTGCTGACATTGACTTCCAAATCCCCAGTCCAACACCAGTTTTATTAACTATTCACTTGGGCACCCAACTGGCTCTGTCACGCTGCAAGACCATTGTAGGAGCAGAAGTAGGTCATTCAGCCCATTGAGTCTGATCATCTGTCTTAGATGTGTGGCCCTGTAATCTGAGGTGATGCCCTCTGGTCCTAGACTCTCCTACAAGGGAAAAACCACCTCTCCCTCTCTCCCCTGTTGAGATCCACATCATCTTATATTTTGTAAATGAGTCCTAGGGTTAAAATTTCCTGGATCTTGTGCTGAACCTCCTCTGGGGACTTTATTCCCACAATACATGGTCACCTACCTCCAGCTAAAATTGACTGTTTGAAGTCAGACAGCAGTGGATTCAAACCCAGAGTCCAATACTTGGGCACAGAACCTTGGCCAGCTGTTCCCAGAACAGGTGAGCATATGACATTGTGAGAAATAAAGTCACATTAATCTCCTGCTCCCCTCCTCTTCCCCCAGCTTGTATTGTTCCAGCAGTGAGAATTAGCCAATCATAAAATGAACTCGCAGCACTGGGCTTTGACAACTCTGATCAGTTGGGCTATGAAGTAACTAAAGAAGAAAAGTGTCAACATCCCAGGAGGACCACAGGGCTACTCGCTCATCCAAGAGAGACACTGGTTCTCACTACGCTTCTACTTAAGTACAGTAGAGGTTTCCTGCAGCATTAGCTATGAAAGTGGATGTAGATTTAGCAACAGGCAGCAGCCCAGTCATAGAGTGCCCAGGATTTTCATCATAGGCTTTCATATTTATATAACATATTGTCTATTGACATAAGATGTGCAAACTTCATTAATTATATACTGAATGTTATTATGCTACTTTATTGCTGTTTTGCTTTTATTGGCAGCTGGGATTGCATTAACCATCAAATGTTAAAATGGGGTCGTATTAGAAAATAATTCTGGAAATGCTGATCTAGGCTGACACTTTGATGGACTGAGTGAGTGCTGCACTGTTGGAGGTGTCATTTTTCAGATGGGATGTTAAACGAAAACTAAATCTGTCTCTAAAAAGATCCCAGCGTACTAATGGAAGAGCAGTGGGGAGTTCATGTAGCTTCCCGGCAAACGCATGCCTCAATCAACACCACCGAAAGTAGATTAACAGCTTATTTATCTCTGC